GTTCCAAGCTGTTTATTTAGAGATGGTAATATTCTTCTTTCTACCGTCAGTTTGTTGAATTTGCCATTAGCATCACGAAAACCTTGATTAACTGCGTCCACTAGCAGCCGCAATAACAACTTGTGTTCAGGCTCAGACCATTGTTTATATTGACCTTTAGCTTTCACATCTTGTGTATCTCCCATTGTACCTTGGTAACTAATCATACAATGAAACAAATATGTAAGGCAAACATTATATAATCAGAACTAGTAACTAATATAATAAGAAACAGAACTTAGAACACAGGAAAGTAAAGACACAAGAGCTAAACAATCCACAGATCACTATGTCCCAATCAAGTCCAGCTTATGAACTGTATAACCAATCCAGTCTACAACAGCAACTAACAAAATCAGAAAACCAAGAGAATTTACAAAACATAGGACTCAAACATGTGAACGATGATACAAGTTTGAACAGAACATAAGACACAAAAAAAACCATATTTTTATGACATAATTTAAGAACGATGATGATACTTCTAATCATAGTCAATTGTAAACTAACAACATAAGAGAAACAGACGTGAAAGCTTGTTTGTGTAAACAGACGTGAATACCTTGACTGCAAGAGAAATAACCTTACGTATCTTGTTTGTGTAAGCTGCTAAACAAAAAAATATTGATTAAAGTGAGTATATATATACCTTACAACTAACCCTAATAATAAAGAAATAGACGTGAAGCCCATAAGTTTGTGAATTTGATTGCCTTTTTTTTGTGAATTGTTTTTTTTTTAAACCAATCTTTCAAAATCACACCTTGAGAGGTGTGATTTTTTTAACTGGTTTTCACTTGTAAAATTGTATCAAAGTCTCCCAAAATCACTTTTTATGGTTTTCTAAAAAAGAAAGAGTTATGTTTTGAATAACAGTGGATTTGATATGATTTTTACAAATTATTGATTGAATAACAGAGATTGTAAGTGATTTTAAAAGACTTTTTACAAATGTCATATTCAATAACAGTGGATTTGAAAAGTGATTTAAAAATCACTAGTTGAATAACAGGGAATTTTAAAAAAAATCCAAAATCCTCTAGAATTCTACTTTCAATACACCCCTCTAAATAAAAAGTATGGGAGACAGTTTGACTCAACGAGAGAGTGGGCAGCTACTAACTCCACACCACACTCTTGCATTATTTTTTTGTGTGCTTCTTCTTGATATTCTTTACAGTATTTCTATAGCACGGTATGGTTGTAACCCGAGAGCTTCAATACTGAACCACTTGGTCCTTAAACATCACACAAACTATTAACACCAGCTAGATTTAGAGCAATGATTCAAAACAAACCTATATGTCTATCGATTCACAAGAGATTCTCATTTCCTGACCCTTAAAGTTTAAGCTTAGTTAGGAAGAGATGATAACCAACAGGATTGATATGCAAAAACTAATTCACACGATAACATATTTCAAGATAATAACAAAGTTATCCCTTTGAATGTGTTGTTTCAAAGGAATAAATTAGAGCATATGCTTGAAATGGCTTAGCTTAAGCTTAGTTATATGATAAGAAGAAGATTCCACTCTTCATCAATCCTGTATTGAGTCCAGTCAGATGTGGCAAATCCAAATAACACAAATAGCATCAACACATGAAATATGCTAATCTATGCCTTTGGCTATTTCAGCGATGCAACTCACCATATAAGATGCTTTGATTGAGTTCTGGTTAGTGCGTTAGTAAAGAAGGTCAGTAAGCTCAATTCCAGGTTCTAGCATATAGTTAAATGCTTGTGAAGCAAAATGGGAGACACGTCTATTAGAGAGCACAACATAAACCTTCTGTCTGCCACAATTAACACGAATCAAGTTCTTGGGTACAAAATGTAGAGAAGAAGTAAATTATACCTTAGAAATGTTCTCTGTCCATATCATATGCAAACACAGACAAAAGGAGGTTAGACTGGTGAAGCTGATGCATTTGTGATCAAAGAATAGATAAGCCAACAAGTGATTTTGCCAATCTTTAGTTTCAAGTCTAGCCACTGAATCCACCATGCTAGAGAAATGCGTAAGTTGATATGTATATTACTGACCACATACACATCAATCTCACATGACACACATAAAAAATGGAAGCAAACAGAGCTATTGATATAAATATATGCTCTTCGATCATCGAGCTAGAATTCTCCAGTTAAGCTGACTAGTAATTCTACATGCATACAAAATTGATTTTACCTGATTCTACACTTCCAAAGTTGTAACTAGATACTTGAACTTTCTTCTTACTTGATACTAATATCAACTTATAGCAAAAGTTGGAAACACACAAAACCAGGTTGTTATTAAAGCTTTATAGCGAGACTGTTTTCTCGTGTATGTCTTTTGGTGAAGCCAATGTGCAAATCCAAGAAAAAAAGATGAGGCCAGCTTACGTGGTATTGCACAAGAAATATTAGAGAAGGTAATTAACAACACTTTTGCTAACATAGTATTGTTTCTAGATTAACCTAAACGCTTACAAATGCTCTAATATAATCATAGTAATAACATTTTTCAGTTCACCGATCTATCTATGATCAAGTAAGACAACATAGTAGCCTATCACATTAGATGGAGCATCAGTTATATATATGGGAGTTCAATCCCTAGTTACGAAAACAAGATACTACAAATCAAAACAAGATATAATTTAGAATCTTTCAGACGGTTTAGGCACATAATCATCTCTCTATCTCTCTCACAAAGTATGAAATGCTTTTTCAAACTCATCGATTAAACTACTTCAAGCACATGAAGAACTACAGAAACAACACAGTAATCACAATAACCTACACCAGCATAGAAAAACCTGGGGTAACACCTAGACTGTGATGTAAACCAAAAATCTATGCTGTCTCTACTTGTTATCTGTTTTGTGACTTCATAGAATGATTTCAACAGAGAGAACATTAGACACTAATGTAATAAAGCAAATCTAAAATTTAATTTTAGCAGACACAACACAAAGGCTAAGTGGACTTAAATGTTTCGTTTGACCTCATGATAATCATTGCAATTTTAACCACAGATTGCAAAGGACTCGCTATTGACAAAAACTGATTCCAAGACATTAAGTATAAGCTTAGACAACAAAGATAAAATCATGAGTTGTCATCAATTATGCAACTTGAGATCAACCATTTTGAGTAGGAAAAAGATAACTGTTTCAGCATTTGTTCATCTCCACTGTTATCTAGTTCACGACTTCATTTGTGGATCTCAAGGTGAAGCACATTCAACACCAGTACCAAGAGACCTGTTCACAATTGGATTTCTTCAAACACAACACAAAGACGTTACTTACTTGAATGGTTGACACTTGACACATGGCACACTTGACTTATTCAAGGAACATCATAAAGCCAACATTCTAAAAGAGCCCCAAAAAGACACCAACTCATTCCTTTGCTTGAACCCAATATAATGCATATAGTAATCAAAACATACTAAGCAAAATCACTGCAAAACTAGGCTTCTAAATGCAAAGTAACTGTTTTAATTATTAAAAAAAAAGACTAATAACAGACATAAACATCAAGCTTGGCCAACACAAGAAAAAAAAAAAGATCAAACCAGCAAGAATAACATCAAATGAAGTATAGTCAATCTGAAACTTAACTGGATCAATCATTTCAGTGGAAAATAAGAATTCCAAAACTCCTTTTGGAGCATAATATAAACAACTTCAGTAGAAGATAACATTTTCAACCTCATTTGGCACCATATTAGATCTACCAATCCATAGAAAACAACATTTGTTTACTTCATTTTGCACCCAGAAAATACCAAAACAAAGCAACAAAATTTATTTTCTAACAAATTCAGAAGCAAAAACTGAAGAAACCTGCAAGGAAAAATGTTGATAGAGAGCATTAGGTATAGGGCTCAATTTTTTGTTCTTTTGGATCTCAACTTGCAAAGAAATCAAGTTAGTGAGTATCTACCAACTACCGGATCACATTAATTCCAAAGATAGAATTGAATGCCAACTAGCATTAATCCGTATAAACCTAACACAAAAAAGGAAATTATAGATCAAAGACCTTTTAAGACCAAACAGCTGGATTCAGTGCTTCATTACCAACTTGCTCAGAGAAAAAATAAAATAAAAAAAAACTGTTGCCATTGATACGGTACACAACTAGGGTGTACATGAAATAGAACCAAAACACAAATTCCATCATTATGGCTTCTGGTGAAACCTGAAAGCCACTTCTAGTTCCTGAACAAAAAGGAAGATAAAAAGACGAAAACACAAGTCATGTGTGGCTGCTACAATCATAATCATCAGAGGATTTCAACATGTAGAAACTTTATATAAGGAAGAATAAATCAGATCACATCCAAATAAGACAAAGGGACAATCAATAGTTAAATTAAATCAATGAGAAGAATGTGTACCGGTTTGGGGTTCATGATCATCAAAACTCGCGCTTTCCCTAGATCCACTAGAAGAAATCAAAACCATAGAGAGCACACTTAACAAGACTTACATTCATTTTTTTTATAAACCCAAACTATAAAAATCTGAGCTTTTCTCCACCAAACTTGTAAAAAGAAAGCTTGAAAACAAACATTCTTATGCGGTAAGCAAGCACCCACTTCAACACAATATAGAAAGAAAAAACACATACATAAGCAAACTAATGGGGGTATGATGAAAATACATTTATATCATCCACATCACCACAAGCCAAGTGCAGGCAGCACAACAAATAAGATGATAAGAAGGTAAACGAAAAGAGAGTTTGAGAGATAGAGAGAGAGAGAAAGAGAGAAGAGAGAAGAGAGAGAAAGCAAGAAGAGGAATAGGGGGAACTGACAGAAAGAGAGGTGAGCACGCACACGCAAAGTTATAGGCAC